GTTTTGGGTAAGTACTGAGAGATTCTACCTAAGGTTTGGGAGGACCACATCCTATCCTGGGGATCCAAAATATTTAAGCAGTGAGAGAAAAGAACAGTGCTGGCAGAAGAGAACAACAGAAATAAAAGTATGAGAAAGGAGACCCGGAGAGAACAAATATTGATAATCAAAGCATAATATGACCACAGCATGTTATGGGGTTGTTGGGTTTTTTTTTGGGTGTAGGGAATACCAATTAACAATGGATAATTTGAAAGAAAAAAGACCACCCAAAAAGAATTGATCAGATTTTTGGTGGGAGGGTGGGAGTCAAGTAGATAAATCTCTTGATAAGAACAATCTGAACAATAATCAACAACAAGATGATTCAGGAGAAAAGATTTGTTCAATCCATTATGCTGATTGTGAGAAGGTGGTGAGAAACGTAAGTGAATATCAGCAGGAGATGAACAGAAGTTGAGAGATCTACACTGTGATCATCCCAACAGAGATGTATTGATGAGGTTAGTCAGGAGATAATCATCAAGAATAACGGGAGACTAACAGCAGGATCCTGAGAGATCCCAGCAGGTAGAAAATGATATAAAGAGGAAAGAAGGGGGTGATTGGGAGGATTCATATGTCCTTCTAAGCTCAGATCAAACCAATCACGTTAGCGAGATAATATACTGTAAATCCAGCCACATAAAGTATGATTTATGCTCTAAGTCAGTGCTTCTCAAACGTTTTCCTTCATTACCCAAAATCACTCATCAGAAAGTTCTTATTTAAATGTCCCTATTGGGATTGATTTTTTTTGTGTGTGTGGTTTGTGTGTAGTTACACCCCCTCAAAACTCCACTTTTACCCAATTTTGGATAATTTACACAGATTTGGGAAGCACTGCTCTATATATGAACCCAGCCCTTGTCATTTATTCGACAAACCAATATTCAAAGTATAGTTTAAAATACCCTTTGGTGAAATGGGTGGCATATAAGTGTAATAAATGAAAAAAAATAAACATAAAATAAACATCCATTTATTTACAGTAAATTAACAGAGAATTATGAAAATTGGTACAAAGCAGAAACATCTGATTTCCTAATAAATAGTTTAGGTGGAGTGAAAAGGTAGGTATACAGACTTTAGGAGATTAAGACACAGATTTAAAACAACTGAACTAAGCAGAAAGTAAACTGAAAAGACAAGATTGGCCAGGATGTATTGAGTGAAAAAAAAAAAAGATTTAGACGAATGACAGAGATGACTTTAAATGCACAAAAACATCTAATTTTTTGTGTTTGATTCCAAATTAATTAATTAATTTATTTATTTATTTATTTATTTGATTTGTATCCCGCCCTTCTCCTTACCGGACTCAGGGCAGCTGACAGCCTTATAAAACCAATATTACAGTAAATATCAAATTAAAACCAGATTAAAAGGAAATATTTGTAATGGCCTAATAATTAAAATTTCCCTTAAAAACCCCACTAAAATTCCCTAGGCCAATCCCGCTTGTTGGAAAAGCCATGTCTTTAGGGTGCGGCGGAAGGAGGGGAGATCCGGGATCACCCGGATCTCTNAAAAATCTAACAGTTATGTTGAAATAATTATTTTTAAATTTTAAATTAAGATGAAAGATAAAGTGAAAGCCTAATGTATAATTTCATGTTAACATAGCTAATAAATGACCCTAAAATCACTTATAATATAATAGTTTAATGTATATCCTTAATTTTAGGTTTTGGCTGAATATTGCTAAATCTCATAGAGATTTTTGAGTGGTGGGGCGGTTGCACTGGGTTAAATTAAATCAGCAAAAAACTATAATAACTATAATAAGTAAGACACTATCTACAGAACTAGAACAAAAGTTATGCTGCCAGGAATTACTTGTTTTACTAACCAGTTATTGCACATTAAATGTTAATAAAAAAGGTTCAAAAGCTGAAAAATCAAGCTCTTAAAAAACGTATCTATAATACAATTCAATTCCCAATAAATTCAAGTTGTTGGTCATTACCTTTAAAGCCCTTTATGGCATGGGTTCAGGATAATAATCCATGGTATAAACCCATGTTTCATCCCAATGGGACTAGCTCCAGAGGAAAAGGCCTACTTCAGATTCCATCTGCCCATAAATTTTGGTTGGCAAGATTCAGGAGAATAATATTCTGGAATATTCTACCATTGGAGGTAAGATCTGCCCCCCATACTCCTGGCCTTTTGGAAGAGCCTGAAAACTTGGCTCCGCTTACTGGCCTGGGACCCCAAAAGGGGCATGACACATTGAGGGTGGCTGATGGGGTAAAGAAAAAATCCCCATCCCTCATGTCACCCATCCTCTTGGTTTTTAGCTTTCCATTTAATCCTCTTAATTTTAATCACTTTGTATTACCCTTTTTAACCTTTTTATTATATTGTAAGCTGCCCAGAGTCACTGTATCAGTGAGAAGGGAGGCATAAAAATTTAATACAGGTAGTCCTCAATTTACAAACGTTCATTCAGTGACCATTCAAAGTTACAATGGCACTGAAAAAAGTAACTTATAACATTTTTTGCATTTACGACCAACTCAGTATCTCCACAGTCATGTGATCAAAATTCAGATGTTTGGCAACTGACATGTATTTATGACAGCTGAAGTGTGACAGGGTCATGTGATCAACTTTTGCAACTTTCTGACAAGCAAAGTCAATAGGGAAGGCAGATTCACTGAATTAAATGTGTTACTAACTTAACAACTGCAGTGATTCACTTAACAATTATGGCAAGAGGTTATAAAACTCACTTAACAATTGTCTTGTTTAGCACTGGAAATTTGGATTTAATTGTGGTGGTAAGTCAAGGACTACTTGTGAATGAATGAATGAATGAATGAATGAACGAACGAACGAACGAACGAACGAACGAACGAACGAACGAACAAATACTTTGGAGAAGCACTTACAGAATCTGGATCTCTTTGTTGCTCTAGAAAAGCAGAAAACTCTACGAGTCTGAGTTTAGTTGTTCCAATAGATCGACCTTGCCAAGCTGGAACAGAGGGTGCTGGAGCTGACGTGGGTTCAAATCCTAAAAAAAATTGTTACAAACTTAACAATTTATTTGTTGCTCTAGATGGTAAATAGTTACATGCTAAATTGTTTTCCAGCTTGCTTTTAATAGTTCTGATAAACCGAAACAGTATAGTTATAGAATCCATTTTAATTTTAAAGCAAACATTTAAATGTATACTACTTTACTTCCAAATTTTAATTCTTCTTTGTGAACCAATGAAACTATTAAAGATTTTGTTGCTTAGGGTCTTTATAATTCCTTCATTTGTTAACGGTAAGTTTTAAAATACTGGTACGTCACATAATCATTTTTGGCAGATATATTATAGCCCGTAGTATATTCTAGACATCCATGATCAGCCATATATGTACATATTAAGGCAAGACTAATATTTAAGATTTCCTAGAGCATTATCATCTTGGGGAGCCCATGGAAATAAGCAAGTGGGGCCTGCGACAAACAAGGGAGCAAATTCTGAACAGAATAACTAGCCCAAAATACAAAGGTAGCTACAAAGTGCAGAACAACAGTGATCAGTCCAGGAATGCTGAGGGATGGAGTAGTCTGCCCTCCTTCCCCACTGCAAGGTCAGGAGATCTGGAGTGTTTCAAAATGTAAGTGGGTGATGGTAACAGGGGGTGTGGAGGAGGCCCAAGCCTTGCAGGGTCAGGGGGGGACTAGGCCTGCGGAGACCCAGTGATGAGGGGAAAAACAGACGCATGGGGCTATGGGGACCCCAAGGGTTGGGGAACAAAACGCAGGGTGTCTCAGGAAGTGGTGGAGGCCTTGGAGTCCCAGGCCAGGTGGGCCTGTGCTAGACCTTCCAGAGCCTCCCCCATCCGAGGCATCCCATGTTCCACTTAACAATAGGGACAGCAAGTTGCGGGGTTGTTAAGCAAGGTGATCACTGTTAATGACATGTGATCATAATAGGCAGGCTCCATTATAGTCACCCAGAATCACTGTATTAGTGAGATTGGCAGCATAAAAAAATTAACAATAAATAAATAAAATAAATAAAATAGTCGTACGTAGAGGACTACCTTTAGTTATGATTCTATATGTAGCTATATATTGCAAATGTTATTCAAATGCAAATAAATTTCTAATACATTTATATAATTATCATGGGATATATTTTTTTGTTAACCTAGTATATTTTCTATAAATGAATCCGCTATTTCATTATATTTGTCCACACAAAGTCCACATATATATGCAATCCACAAGTGCAATCAAGTTTTTAATCCGCTGAGTGAAAAGGGTCTTTTCTTTTCAGTGCTGCAAAATCAGTCTTTAAGCTATGTAACGGCACTGAGAGTCCATTTACATTGTCCACCTATCAAATTTAACTCTTGAAAACTTTCTAGAAGTTTCACAGACTGTTTTCTAATGGGAAACTGGTCTTTTAAGCCAGGAATCCCCAATCCCTGGGTTGTGGCCTGGTACCGGGCCCAATGCATTCAGAACCGGCCCACGCAAGGGGCAGATGAGTATGCACAGCTCCACTTGCGCGAGCTGCATGTGTTGCACTCTCGTGTGTGAAGCTCCATTTGCATGAGTGGCGGGTGTGTGCACCCACGGCTTGGCAATTTGAGCTACATGTGGGAGCGTGCTTGCCTGCTGCTGCTCAGAACCATCTCCTCCCCCATCACCACTGCTGGTCCACAAAGACAGAAAGATTGGGGACCGCTACTTTAACCATTCCCTGGCTGCAGGCACCACCAGTTCAAACTACTGATTTTAGCTTATAAAACTCTATTGGCTATTGTAATTTTGACCCATCACCTCTCACATTAGTATGAAGATCAGTGGGTGTGGTTTGCAAGATGGTGGCCAGAAAGAGCTACTAAACAGCACTTTTCTGATGGAATTAAGGTTGGCTTTCATGCTGTCTTTTAAAGGTCAATTGAAGGCACATTTGTTTACTCAGACATTTATTTGCAAGATGACAACTGTCCCAAGACTAGGCTGCCTATTCAGCTGTCTTTGAACTGAGCTGCATTTTTCATGCTGGTACTCCAATTGGGCTATTCTATTGTTGTATGAGCGTTTGTTTTATAATTACTGGGTTCTTTTGAATGGTTTCTGAAAGTTCCTTTGGGAGAGAGAGTGGAATGAAATAAATGCATGGAATAAAATTTTAAAATTAAGAAGAACAGCAATTGTTTACAGGGTCAACTTGACACTGCAATTTGATTTCACTATTTTTGTTGTTGTTGTTGCCAACAAGGACAGTTTGAACGATTCTAGCTGAGTTGCTCCTTCATTAATGCTTCCACTGTGCAGAATTCTGGAATACACATCAAGCTACCGCTGTGCTCAGAAGCGGGAGCAATTGTTAACCAAGCCCCATGCATATTCTATAACTACTGATGAATGTGCAAATAATTATGTACACAAGTTCACATACATATAGATTCATTATTGTTAAACTAAATAAAGAGGCTACCAAATTTCCCTACATATTTTGATACATGTTTAACAACCACAACCTGTGCCGAGCGTTAAATATGGGCTGAGTTCCATCTACCCCCACCCGCATAAAACAAATTAATAAATATTACCTGAAATGGGAGTTGTGACTGTGGGCTGTATAGGATAGGCCTGCTGAACGAATGGCTTTATGCTGAAACAAACCAATAGACAATGAAATCACACACCATTACTTAGAATAATTATTAATAAAAATAAGTATATTTCATCTCATTGTAATTCAGTCCAGTGCAGTAATATTTATTGTAGATATTCTTTCATATTGAAAATAGAACCTTAATAAGTGCGTTTACTAAACTATTGACTAAAAAAAAGAGGTAGGGCAAATTCTGTTAAGGAGCATTTGATATAGGTTTTAACTCAGCTGCAAGCTAACCACAAATAGAGCTTATGGATCCTTACTGGGAAACATGATTATCATCTGCATCACAGATCTGCCATTGTTCCTGCCTTTTTATGGGTAACATATGGACCCAGTTTTAACTCTGGGAGATTTAAGGTGGCAGGATTCCTTCTTTCTTGCACAATAAACAAGGGTCATGCATAAGCTTCATAGGAGTGCTTTGCTATGACAGCAAAGCAATTCATTATTCCCGTGTTACCTTTAACTGCAAAGTGGACTGGCCACATTATCTCACTCTGAGGGTTCCTCTGGCAGATCCCAGTAAGGGAGTGAAGAAGCTTCTCCATTGTGCATGTACGGAAGTCTCTTTCAGCTACAGTTAAGTAGTAGAAGAGACTTAGAGCAGAGGTCACCAACCTTTGTCGATTGGCGGATTGGAGGAAAAGGGAGGGGGAAGCATTTTACATGCGTGCGTGTGCATGAGCATGGGGCTGCGAGCACACGTGTGCCACAAATGGGGCAGGGCTAGCGCCCACGTGATACTCACTAGCCCTGTCCCATTCTTGCATGGCACCTTGTTTCTGTGCCCTGTGGTGTGGCAGTGGCCTGTTTTTGCACATTGCAGTGTGGCAACAGCCTGTTTTTGTGCCCTGTGGTATAGCGGCGCCCCTTTTTTGTGCCCTGCAGCACGACAGTGGCCCATTTCCATGCCCTGTGGCACAGCAATGTCCATTTTTGCACCTTGCAGCATGGCGGCAGCATCCTGTTTTCATGCCCCGAGGCACAGAAGTGGCCGGTTTTTGCGCTCCATGGCGCAACGTCCTATTTTTGCACCCTGAGGCTACGGTGCTAGCACAAGTGAAGGGGTGTGCATGCACACACGCACACACTGGCCAGCCTGTCCCACGGCCCAGTGACCAGCAGGCCATGGCCCACTACCTGGCTGTGGCCCACAGGTTAGGGACCCCTGGCTTAGAGCAATGCACAACCTCTCCCAATGCACCTTTTTGTCTTGAGGAGAAGGAATTGCATTGCCTCTGGGCTGCAAAGTGACTTGCCAAGGCATACACAAACTATCTCCTATGGGCCTACTAAAGAGAGATTTCCCCCACCAATCCCCTCAGCTGCTCAAGTTACTTTAATTGGGGTGCAAAGTTCACTACTGTGACTCATCGGTCAAACACATGCACAAAGTCAAATTACTCAAAGCATAAACCAGAAATACTCATATCTTTTTAGTAATTGATTAGGTGATTTCAAAGACCAATCATAAATTCCCTTTGCCCAGTGCCATCATAACTTTGAATGGTCATTGAACAAGTGGTTGTAACTTGAGGACTATCTGTAAGATAGACATGTTTGTGACATTTTCTAAATTTCAGGAATTACTATTTTTACAGAAAAGTTTGATCATGCAAATACTATATACCAGTTATTACTTTCTTCATTTGTTGAGAAAGGGACTAAATTCTATTGGACTGGTAAGCATCATTTCCAACAGGTAGTCCTTGTTTAGAGACTTCAGTTGGCACTCAATCGTTCAGTAAAAAGTCATTAAATAAAATTGTGACTGTAATTACGAGCTTTCCTTTGCTTTACAGACTAGTGAAGATTGTAAATACAAGAATTGATCACTGAGTTACTTTTTCCACCACTGTTGTAAGTGCAAACAGTCACTAAATGAGGCAATGGCTACCTGAAAGTACAATCAGGCAAATATTCCATACTATCACATATGTAAACATACATAGGAAACCAGAGATGCCGGTTTCTTGATTTCCTACTTACTCCTGAGAAGATCCGGGCTGTCCTGTTTGTAGCATCCCAGGCCAAAACTAGATTGAGGCAAAAGGAAAGAGAAAAATGAAACACAGAGATTTACAGAATAAAAGTTGCTTTCATTAAAGCACATTTTTAAGCCAAAAATTTTATAATGGAAAAGGGGAAGAACCTTTTATGGATAAGTTAACTGATTTTAGGCATATCCTGTCAATCACTTTTGGGTGAAAATATATTTTTATTTTAGCCAATTAACTTACTCCAGGTGCTCCAGGGAACGTCGGACGGGGAATTCCTGGCAAACCCAACTTATTGTGAATCGCTGTTGCAGACACAATTTGAGCGGAGGACATGGCTGCCATGTGCTGGAGTGCTTTGTCCTTTGCAGTCTGATCCTTTAACATGACAATTACAGGCAATCATTAATACTCCAGACCCAACAAAGCACACTGAGCAAGCACAGTTAGAAAGCATATGTGCTAAAATTAAACGGCACAGGAAATGTGAAAAATACAGAGCATACCATGCAGAAAAATGTAGCTTGGGGGGGGGGGAAATAAAATACATTCCAACTGCATCAGGGCAAAGTTCTTTGCTCAATATTATTATGTTTAATTCTAAAAAAGATTCTCTACTGAAAAAAAGTAGGAAGTCGACTGAATGAGAATTGAAAACTGGGATGGTGCCACAACAAAGTAGGAAGGATGCTTTGCTGAGCCGAAAATGAAACTCTGAAACAGCAATAAACTCCCATTGCTAGCTGACAATAAAGTCTTGGTTTAAATATGTACATCTGTAAACTCTAAAATAAATGCAAATCCTTTGCACATCAGACCTCATCTAACTTCTTTACTCTCAGGAAGCCTAAAAGTCATCATTTTAAAGGCTGCTGTGTATTCTCTGATTTGTACAGCAAGGAGAAATAGAGCAGCACTACAATGCATGGCAGGAGTTTGCAAGAATTAGAGTAAGTTTTATCTGAAGTGGTTGAAAATGTAGCACAGAATTCAATGAATCCAGCCATAGTTCAGTCCCTATTTCTTTAAAGAATATACAATATACACATGCACTGAATATCTTCCTAAGGAACAAGGTTTAAATCAGGGGTGTCAAACTGCCGGCCCGCGGGCTGGATGCATCATAGCGAAACCGCGCCCACCCCACTGCCGGCAATGGCAAAAAAGTCGCAATACGTC